ACGCCATTTCCGCCTTTTGGCCGTACGTTCACTTTTAGTATGGTTTCCACGCAATCCTTTATAAATGAGACCCCTGGTCATTAGATGTAGCTCGACTGTCTTGGGACATTCTTTTGAACAGTGGCTGCTTTGTTTCCCCGATGTATAACTGGTCGCAGTCCTCCTGGCACTTAACAGCATATACAACATTGCTCTGTTTGTGCCGGGGCACAAGATGCATCAGGACAAAGAATGGGATGGGAATATTTTTATGAGTCATAAAAATTCAATGAGTGCAGGAGTGGCAATTCTGTTTTCAAAGAATTTTCTTCCAGAATCATTTGAAGTGGAAAATTGTTTCAGGGAGGTTGCTGAAAGTGATTGCAAAATTTGAAAAATTAACTTTTATTTTGTTAAATGTTTATGTTCCAACGATTCCTAGTGAGCGATGCTTTTTTTGGCCAAACTAGAGAATATAATTTCAGGCTGTGATTCAACAGATTATCTGATTTTAGGAGGAGATTTTAATTGTACTGTTGATGACTTGGACAGAAACCATTTAGAGCCTAACATTCAATCAAGAAAGATTCTAAAACGTATAATTGAAACATATGAGTTAATTGATGTTTGGCGCTCTAAGCATGGTAAAAGTAAACAATATTCCTGGACCCACTGTAAAGAAAATCACATTAGCCTGGCAAGACTTGATAGACTGTATTGTTTTGAGCATCATGTGCAAATGTTTAAATCTTGTTTTTTATGTCCTGTTGGGTTTTCTGACCATGTTAATAGGTAATGTTAATAGAATTAAACCAAAGAGTGCATATTGGCATTTAAACACTGTTTTATTGAATGATGGTTTGTTTAAGGAAGGTTTTTCTTTTTTTTTGGAAACAGTGGAAATTTCAGAAATCTCAATTTGCTTCTTTACAACAATGGTGGGATATTGGAAAAATAAAAATTCAGCAGTTTTGTACCCAGCACACTTCCAATGTCACAAGAGAGATTGTGCAATCTATAAAAGACCTAGAGTCCACTAGAAATCAAAATAATTTTCAGATTCTAAAAAAGAAAAAGACTGCCTTGGCTGATCTGCTAGGGCTTAGAGCACAGGGGGCTTTAGTACGTTCTCGTTTCCAGAATGTAACTGAAATGGATGCTCCTTCCAAATTTTTCTTCAGTTTGGAGAAGAAAAATGGCCAGAGTCGACTCATTCACAGTGTCCGAGCAGAAGATGGAAGTGAACTGATGGAAACACCTGCAATACGAAAAAGGGCTGTGGACTTTTTCTCAAAGCTTTATGCCTCTGAATACAGAGAAGATGGTGAACTGGCAGAAAAGTTCTTAACAAATTTGCCAAAGATTTCAGCACAAGGTAACACAGACTTGGAACCTTTTTTGACCATTCAGGAACTGCAAGAAGCTCTTTCGAGCAAGGATAATGGATAAACTCCAGGATTAGATGGTCGACCTGTGGAGTTTTACAGAACCTTTTGGACTTTGTTGTCAGAAGATTTATTGGAGGTTTTGAATGACAGCATTCTGGGGGGAAAATTACCACTAAGCTGTCGGAGAGCTGTGCTCACTCTTCTCCCAAAAAAAAGGCGATCTGTGTGAACTAAAAAAAACTGGAGACCAGTTAGTCTGTTGTGTGCTGATTATAAAATATTCTCAAAAGCTTTGGCGAACAGACTGAAGAAAGTGATTGGTCAAGTTATACATGTCGACCAATCATATTGTATCCCTGGCAGATTTATAAGGGACAACATTTCCCTAATTAGAGACATTTTGGACATCTCTAGTTCATTGGATGTAAAATTTGGTCTGATTTCCCTTGACCAAGAAAAGGCATTTGATCGGGTGGAGCACCAATACTTATGGAACACTTTTGAAGCCTTTGGCTTCTCCCCTGGTTTCATTGCCATGATTAAAACACTCTATTGTGACATTGAAAGTGTTTTAAAGGTCAGTGGTGGTTTAAGTGCTCCGTTTTTTGTAAAAAGGGGAATTCGACAAGGCTGTGCAATGTCAGGCATGCTTTATTCAATTAGTATTGAACCATTGTTATGTCAGATCAGAAAAGGTTTAAATGGAGTAAAATTTAAAAAAAACATATGTCATCATTGCATCTCTCTGCATATGCAGATGATATTGTAGTGGCAATTACAAATGATTGTGATGTTTCTAAACTGACAAATATTATTGATTGCTTTGGCAAAGTTTCCTCCTCTAAAATAAATTGGGGAAAAAGCAAGGCTTTGTTAGTTGGTGATTGGCAAGGAGTTGAGCCCCAATTACCTAATGATTTAAAATGGGTTAAGAATGGTTTTAAGTATTTAGGGGTTCATTTAGGTGATCAGGTGGAGATTAATAAAAATTGGGAAGGTGTGGTTGAAAGAATAGAGGGAAAACTAAAAAATGGCATTGGATTTTACCAAGAATGTCCTACAAAGGGCATACACTTATCATCAATAATTTGGTAGCTTCTACACTGTGGCATCGTTTAGCTGTTTTAGAACTGCAACAAAATTCACTGATGAAATTACAAAGTATTATTGTTAGGTTTTTTGGGACAGACTTCACTGGATACCTCAAAGTGTGCTTTTTTTGCCAAAAGAAGAAGGTGGTCAAGGTTTAGTGCATCTGGAAAGCAGAAAAGCTACTTTCAGACCACAATTTTTGCAAAGTTTTTTGTACGGGGATCAAAATGTATTGTGGAGACAAGTGGCTGAATGTTTTTTTCAGAAAGTCGTAATTTGGGTTTAGGAAAATCACTTTTTATCTTTGATTACTCAAAGATTAGTACAAATGGTCTGTCACCTTTTTATATCAATGCTTTAAAAACATGGAAATTAATGGAAATAGGAAAAATTGGAACTTCTTCTTTATTTTGGTTATTAATGGAGCCTATTGTTAAAGGTTCACGATTTGGCTCTTCATGGGATAATATACCCATGATGTCTGGATTCCTACTGAACAAGAAAGTAACAACTGTTCAGATTCTCCTTGAACTGATTGGGGCTAACATGGACAATTCTACAGCCCTTGCAAGAAGACTAGAGGTTCGTTCTGTTCGTGTAGTGGACTTGATGCTGGAGAAGTTTAAAAAAGCTCTATCAGATGAGGAAATGAAGTTGATTTCGGCATGGTTTGATGGACTTTTAATTCCTGACAAGACGGACAAATTTTACAACCTGTGCATCAGACCCAATTTAAAAGACTGTGAAGTGCTGGGTCCCCTACTGGAGAAAGACAGTCAAACATGGACTTCACTAAATTCTGCAAATGGTAAAACTTTATATCAGAGATGTGTTAAGGCCCTCAACTGGGTGAAACTCAAAGGCAAAAAAGATACACCGTGGAGGGATTTTTTAAAAAACCATTCTGATGTTAAACCTGCATGGAATATGTTATACAAACCACCATTGGCCAAGAATATTGGTGATTTGCAGTGGCACATTTTACATGGTATTATTGCAGTGAATGCATTTATATCAATCATAAACTCAGCAGTTTCATATAAATGTCCATTTTGTTCAGTAAGGGAGACCATTTTTCACTGTTTTATTCAATGCTCAAGATTGGTGCCCCTATTTGGTAAACTCAGTGATATCGTGAGGTCTGCTGGCAAGTCTTTCTCTGAATTTTTTTTTTATATTCAGTTTTTTGTTTGGAAAAAAGAAAAAGAAGAAAGGGTGTTTACTAAATTTTCTTTTTGGACAAGCAAAACTGACAATTTATTTGAGTAGAAAAGAGAAAATTAGTGGAGGTCAGAGWTATGATTGTTTGTCTATTTTTAAGAGTACGTTGAAAGCAAGAATAAAAATGGAATTTAAATATTATTCAAAAATGAATGAACTGGAAGTGTTTAAAGAAAAGTGGGATTATAATGGCATTTTATT